AAGTAAATCAGAGCTAAAAAAGTGTAAAAACGCAGGCAAATTTGCCTGTATTCTACTACAATCTAAGGGATAGTATTGTCTTAGTGTCTCCAAAAATAATGGATCCTTAGCTACTCTAAATTATGGTTCTGAGCTTTCAACAATTTGATGCCTCTAACTACCTCCCTTATTCTAAAATCTTTTACCAGATTACTCAGCCCTTGCTCTTTATATAATCTATCTATTGCCCCAAGACACTTATATATCTTTATCGACATATCTGCCAACTCCAACTATTCCAAAAATGCTTTAACTATATCAATACTTGCTAAACAAGCTATATTATTTGTCTACTTGCAAAACCTCTCAAACAATTGCTACGCTTTAACTAACCTCTTTCTATAATTTCTATTAATTGTACTATATGCTAAACTATTAGCTCACTCTATTAAAACTCTTACCATTCTATTCTTGCTACCAATAGTTTTCAAGTTAAGTTTTTGTATAGTTTTCTCTGCCCTGATAGCCTCAGAATAATAATCTTTACTGTCAGTAGTAATTTCTCTATTTTTTTAAGTGTCTTGAGAAACATCAGCCACCATAGTACTGAAACTCATATTAAAAGAATTAGCAACACCTGAGCTCTGCATTCTTGACTATATGTCAACACCTGATATACTATGCCAAAGGGTGGATACACATAGTTTTCTTTCTCTGCTTAATCCTGCATATAACAATCGATTACCTCAGAATAGAAACAAAAATAATAGCTATTGAAGCATCTCTTTTTTGTATTCAAATAATTTGCAAACTAATTTATCAATATTTGGCTTTCAACTTCTTGAACACTTGATTGTCTAACTGCTAATCGCCCGAGTTCTATACTCTTGTCAAATAATTTGCTAGGTTTTTCTTACTTGCATCTATTTAACTTCATAAATCTAGACATTATTTTTTATACCAAACTTTCACAAGAACCTTGCAATATCCTTCTGCTACAAATAACTCTCTTTATATATCACTGTTCTTAACATCTCTTGCTGTCTATAAATAGTATTACCCATAAATACCTTAACAAACCTACAAATAACTCTAATGCTCTCAATACCACCAAGCTCTCTAACTGAGCTATCTTTGAAGAATTGAATTGTTTTGGCCAATTTTTAGTTGCCTTGAGCCTTATATATATTTTATACTATTCTATTGTAGATATATCTACAAACACAGCTTTTACTCAAGCTGGTTTTCATATCAATTTGCTATTTTATTTCACTAGATTTTTTTTTAACCACTTCATATTCTCTAATACTCTGACTGTTAACTAAATATTTTCATTCTATTTCTACTACCTCTGATTTGCCGAATCTATTATAGTATAAAATTCTATACACTTTATTTGTGTTAGCAAAAACATCTAGACAAAACTTTGAATTTTCTTTACTAACAATACTAATTTCCTTGCTGATACTATTCACAACCTTTCTACTAACTTCAACTTCTTTTGTATTTTCTTGATTTTCTTTTCTGGCACCTCAACCACTCTTTTCTCTATATCTACTAAAAACTATATATCTAATCTTTTTTGTTAGTTTCTAATTTTCCTTTTCCACTGCTCTTATAAAACTGTATCCTTCTAGATCAATCTTTATCACCTTTTCTCTTATTCGCAATAGCTTCTTTTTGAATAGATATCTAACTCAAATATCATTGATATGATTTTTACAATAAATTCTTTGTGATCTCTACGAACCTATTAATGCCCTTATTATTTTTAAAAAAAATCTACAGTGACTAAAACAGGCCAAACAGAAGAACTGTATAATGAAACTACTTTCTTCTATTTGAAATCTCAAGAAATACTGTATCTAATCATCTATTAATATATAATAGTACCTGTCTTTTAGGTCAAATATAATCACCCACCAATTCCTCTTAATTGTTTTTAAAAACTCTTCCAATTCCTTGAAACAAAATATTTTTTCTGGTAATACTTGATTTAATTGTTTAAATTTAGTACCTTTTTGGATCTACTTTTAGTACTAAAAACACCAGACTCATCTTTAATAATATTTCTAGTCTCTCCTTTACCACATATATCAACTTTATTAGCCTTGTTCCCATTAGCCTTTCTAATTCTCATTCCATCTACTTTAATTTGTTCTCTACAAACTCAACCTGCTTTGGTATTTTTTTTTACACTAATGATTTCATATTTTTTAAAAATAAAGGCATTCTGTTCTCTAGCTATGCTATAATTTTTTTTTGCTTCACTTTGGCAAATCATGCCAGTATCTTTATTTAATCAAGTGCTACTTGTAAAAGTGCATAACATTAAAACTAAGATCTGATATCTTGCGATTACTTCACATAATCTAACCAATTATCTACATATATCTACAAGCGACTATGATATATCAGGAATATATGATCAATTAAGATAAACTCTCTGGGGCTTGTTCAACTACCACCTTACAATAGGATATCAACAATCTGATAACATCTTCTTGTAGAGAAGTGAAAAAAATTTTTTTTTAAAATAAAATACAGAGGTATAGGGAATACGTAAAAAAAAAACAAATAAAAGAAAAAAAAGGGTAAGGGTAAAACAAAAAAACTAAACTAAATATAGAATTTTTTACTAACACCAGATAGTCACAATTATAAACTTGTATCAAGCTTTTTAAAAATTACATACTACTATTTAAACTATTCTCTATATTAATTTATATATATAATATATCTAAATTTAAAACCTAAAAAAAATAAAAAAAAATAAAAGCTTCTTCAATGTTGGTATTGTAGAGAAGTCAGAAAATCATACTATTAAGCTTAAAGTATTGTTTGTTTAGGTTGCTATATTCGAGACACATAATTACAGGTTTACTAATCCATATATATCTATATGTTTGTTGTGACAGAAATAAAAAATAAACAAAGTTGTCTGATTTGATAAGTAAATAATATATTGATCTTTTAGAGAGGATAAGCTAAATCATCTACTTTTTACAAAATTTTTTCTGAAAAAAATAGTAGAGGGCCAATGAAAGTATATAAAGTTCTGTAAATTTTATAGTTGTATAGTTGGTTCTACAAGATTATATATACTATTTTAGCAAGAGCTATTCCACTACTTGCTTTAGAATAAATCTTCTAGTTTGAATGCCAAATATCCTGAGAAGTCTACTAAAGAAAAAAGCAAAAAAGCTTGATCTTAAGAAAAACTACATGATTTACATTCACTTCTTGGTATTTTATATCTTTTAAGTTTCATCGACAGCAACCTGTTTAGAGATAAATACAGTTTTTAGAATAAACCTTCTGGTTTGGATATCAAATATCTTGAGAAGTCCATCACAATACAAAAGTTTGACCTCAAGAAAAAAACCATCTAAGTTACACCCACTTCTCGGTATTTCATATTTTTAGACTTCGTTAACAACTGCTTACTCAAAAACAGAACTGAGAATAGTATATAGAGAGAAGTTAATAGAAAAGAGACAAATTTTTTCTAAGTAAAAGTTTTTTTAACTTTAAATTTAAATATCTCAACAACTATCTAATCAAATTTAATAAATTTTTTTTATTTAATTCTTTATAGTTCTAAATTAAAATAAAAAAATTTTTATCAAATTTGAATAAATAGTTGTTAAGATATTTTAATTTAAAAATTAAAAAAATTTTACTAAAAATGATTTGTTTCTTTTCTATTGACTCTCCCATATATCTTGAGACTTTCTATATTGTTTTTCTGTAGTTCAGTTTTTTGTTGCATTGTCTAAAAGATCGTTAGAAAGAGTTCACTATGCTACAATTAGTGCTGCAGGTTTTATAATTTCTTTTCAATATTTCACTGACTCTTCTAAGTGTATTCTTTCTATCACCTTCTTCTCTTTCTGATTTTTCTTTCTCCGAATATAGTTAACTTCTTTTTTCTCTTGAGTCTGCTCTATAAAAAGGCTACTCAAACTTCTTCTGAGAACAATCTCAGGCTATATAGCCTCTTTTCTCACAGATAAAATATACAATTTCCAGGTCTCTATTTTGTCTAAAAAACCTACTATTACTATATAGTTTGGAATTCTTCTGATCTCTATAAGACTACTGGTATGAATTTTGATTTAGCCTTATATTTCTGTATATTAGGGCTATATTCAAAACAAAGACTAACTGACCTGGTTAAAATAAAACTATATTTGGCACTAACCCAAGCTATACCAGGATTTGTTACTATATCGGATATTAAAATACTGGTTACTGCACTACTTGATTTATTGTTACATTTCCAAATCTTATTAATATACTAATTATCACTAATTCTATCTTTGAACACTTATTTCTTGCTAATTGCTTAGCACTAACCAACTTATTCTGAAATATACATCTATAGAATTTTCTGCTGCTACACTCCATCTTTCTCTCTTCGCTATCTTCAAAATAAATGCTTTAGTCACAATGATCTCCTGTGCTTTTGCTACTCTCTCCCAATTTTTACACATTATTGCATTGTCTAAATATCTTCCTATTCTACGCTACTTATTATTATTATTATTATTTTTTTTTTTAAGGTGACCTCTTGGTCGATTCTCTTTATTCAGTTATTAGTCAAG